TACAAGACAATGGACAGCCCTCAGATATCCACTCCAAATTCATCCACTGCATCCTTACCCATAACAATTTTACATTCCACAACAAACACTTTGTCCAAACCATGGGTACTGGGATGGCTCCCCAGTATGCCAAGCTCTTCATGGGCCATCTTGAAGAAGAAATTCTAGACAAGCACACCACAAAACCAAGGATATACCTGAGCTACATCAATGCTATTTTCATCCTCTAGACAGGTGACTTAAATTCCCTCAGGATTTTCACCACAAATTTCAACCACCACCTGTCCATTAAATTCTCTCTCAAACACTCCCATGCTAGCGTCAACTTCCTGGAGACCATGATCACCTTCAACAATGGAACCCAACAGACAACAATATACAAGACACTCACAGATTACCACACCTATCTTCATAGATCCAGTAACCTCCCCAAATACATCACAAAATTTATCATCTGCAAAAAGGCACTCAGATATCACAGGATATGCTCAGAGGAAAAAGTCCAGGATACACACACACAAAACCACCTTCACCAAACAAGGACGCTTCACCAGAGAAGTAGATTGATTCATGGAACGGGCCACCCAAATACTCCGGGTGAACTTCCTTCAATACAGAAACAACACCCCCTCCAACCACACACTCCTAGTTGTCACCTATCACCCCACACTGGAACCCACACCAGGTACCATCAAACAACTGCAACCCATACTTGATGGGGACCCCATCCATAAAGAAGTCTTTCCTGAACCTCCTCTTCTGGCCTTCAAACAATCCCCCAACCTCTCCAAGCTCATTGTCAGAAGCATGTTCCTACATACCAGGACACATCAACTCAAAGCAGCACTAGACCCTGCTAGAAGAACAGATGCAAAACCTAAAGACATATCTCCATTGCTATAATTATCAACACACCCTTCAAGATCCATGGGTCCTACATGTGCCTATTGCAATACATGGTGTACCTCATCCAGTGCACTAAATGCCCCAATAACAAGTATGTGGGTGAAACCAATCACTACATGCTTGAATGAACTCAGACAAGAAAATGAGAAGACAAAAACACCACATCACCTGTGGGTGAACACTTTTTCACAAAGTGATCACTTTATGTTTGATCTATCAGTCCTCATGTCAAAGGAAACCTGCACAACACTTTCAAAAGATGAACTGGAAACTTAAACTCATAACTTTGCCACACCCAAAAAATCATAGACTGAATAAAGACACTGGATTTATGGCTTATTATAACAATCTATAACCCACTAACAACCCCCTCTTTCTTTCCCCCCATGACTGAAAGGGGTTAATGCGCCAGTTCACCTTGAATGGTCCCTTGAAATATGTGTTAACTACTTACACTAAGCCATCTGTTACACCTTACATTTAGCTGTAATTCTCTGAATAAGTTTCCCAGGCCTAAAGGAGAACTCTGTGTAAGCTGAAAAGCTTGTCTCTCTCACCAACAGAAGTTGATCCAATAAAAGATATTACATCTCCCACCTGGTTTCTCTAATGTACCAGGACTGACGTGACTACAAGAACACTGCATTTCCAAAATATAACTTCTGGTTTAACAAAAGTATATTGGGTATGATGCAGAAATTACCAGGTGAATTTCTATGGCCTGTGTCATGCAGGAGGTCAGAAAAAGTGATTGTAATAGTCCCTTAAAATCTATGACTATGAGTTTTACTTCATGTGTCGAACTGATTAGACAGCTCATTTACGCCCACCAGACAAGATGCTTTCAGTCTAAATAGCTGGTTGTAAAGGGTCTGTTCAGGGCAATGGGCTATTAGAAAGAACAACAGGTCTTCCGAGAAGCTTATCTCCTACCTGGTGACCCTTACTGAAAACGCTACAGACAGCCTGTGAGTGATGGCTGCTAAGACACTGCAAGGACATGTTACCAGGTCACATGATGCTGGACTCCATCTTGGGATGTCAGGATTTTGCCACAGACTGGTCTGGGAACCAAGCTTTGGAACAAAGGGTTCCTGCCGTATGCAAAAGATATATAAAGGGAGGGAGTGACATCATTTTCAGTTCTTCACCCAACAAAACTCCTGGAAACACTTGAGGAACAAAGACTGAACTGGGGGAAGTGCTGGGCCCAGGCTAATCGGATTTCTAGCCTGTGTATGAAACACTGAGGGATTCCAAGATGTAAAGCAAGTGCAGCTTGCCTCTTAAGAATCTGCAGCCTGCTTGTATCATCTCTTGGGGTGAAAATCTGCTAATTCATATCCACTCTATCTAGTATATTATGCTTAGTTTGTGTTTTTTGTTTATTTTCTAAGTAATCCGCTTTGATCTGTTTGCTATCCCTTATAATCACGTAAAATCTATTTTTTGTAGTTAATAAACTTGTTTTTGTTTTTATCTAAACCAGTGAGCTTTGACTGGAGTGCTTGGGGAAAATCTCTGCTTGATTACCACAAGTGTGTATTGTTCTCCTCACATGGAAGGAGAAGCGGACCAGGTATTAAGCCCATATACTGGCCAGATTTGACCAAGACAGGACAGTACTACTCTGGGGTCCGAGGCTGGGAAGCTGGTGATTAGAGCGCCTGCATGTGACTGCAGCTGGGTGTGTCCCTACCTATATGAATGCTGGTGAAAGTGCAAGCTGGTGGGCTTTGCAGCTTGTCACAGCAATACAGTGTGAGAGGCAGCCCAGGCTCGTGGGTCAGAGGGCTCAGTGGTACCCCAGTTTTAGGTGGCATCCCAGGGAGAACTTGTCACAGAGTGAATGACAAAGTGGAAATTTTTGCAAATGATACAAAATTACTCAAGATTCTTAAGTCCAGAGCTGACTGAGAAGAGTTACATACAAAATGACTGCCTAGGAAGAAGTACTGTGGAAAGTGATCCACCATGACCCTCAGATCCCAAGCTTAATATAAGTCAACAGTGTAATGCTGTTGCAAAAAAAGCAAACGTCATTCTGGGATGTATTAGCAGAAGTATTGTAAGCAAGACACAAGAAGTAATTCTTCTGGTCTACTACGCGCTGATTAGCCCTCAACTGAAGTATTGTGTCCAGTTCTGGGCACCACAAATTTAGGAAAGATGTGGACAAACTGGAGAAAGTCCAATGAAGAGCAACAAAAATGATTAAAGGTCTAGAAAACATGACTTATGAGGGAAGATTGAAAAAACTGTGTTTGTTTAGTCTGGAGAAGGGGACACAACAGTTTTCAAGTCCATAAAAGGTTGTTACAAGGAGGAGGGAGAAAAATTGTTCTTCTTAACTTCTGGGGATAGGACAAGAAGCAATGAGCTTAAATTGCAGCAAGGGCGGTTTAGGTTGGACATTAGGAAAAGCTTCCTAACTGCCAGAGTGGTTAAGCACTGGAATTAATTGCTCTGGGAGGTTGTGGAATCTCCATCATTGGAGATTTTTAAGGGCAGGTTCAACAAACACCTCTCAGCGATGGTTTAGATAATACTTAGTCCTACCTTGAGTGCAGGGGACTGGACTAAATGACCTCTTGAGGTCCCTTCCAGTTCTATGAGTCTATTAAAGGGATCTCAAAAAACTGGGTGACTGGGCAACAAAAAGCAGATGAAATTCAACACTGACAAGTGTGAAGTAATGCACCTTGGGAAAATACTCCCAACTACATATATAATGATATATTATAAATTAGCTCTTGCCTGTTACTACACTAGAAAGAGACTTTGGAGTAATCACACATAGGTCTCTGAGAACTTCGGCTCAATGCACAGCAGCCATCAAAAAAGGGTAACAAGGAAAGAGTAGAAAATAAGACAGAAAACATGATGCCCCTATATAAATCCACTGTGCACCTACACCTTAAAGTATTTTTTCATATAATGCACAAATAACCCATGGAACTCATTGCTATGGGATGTTGTGATGGCCAGAAGTATAACTGGGTTTAAAAAAGAACTAGATACATTCATGAAAGAGAGATCCATCAATGGCTATTAGCGAAGATGTTCATGGCTGTAATTCTATGCTCAGGGTGACCCTGAAGCACTGACTGCCAGAAAACAGGAGCAGAAGATAGGTGGCTTTCCGCAAAATTGCCGCAACAGCCACTGTCAAAGACAGGATAGTGGACTAGACAGACCGTTGGTCCCATGCAGTATGGCAATTCTTAGGCCCTTAAGTTTATTTTGGGTTAGGCTTGTTTTCAAATTTACCTTTGTGCATGTGTGTGACTTTCATTCAGCAGATTTTCCAATTCTGCCATTGCCTAGCGCGGAGACAGGATTTCACCGGTAAAGTGACCCTCCCTCTTTTCCCTGCAAACCCAGCAAGTATCTCTGAAGCCAGGCACTCCTCCCGGCCACCCTCTCGCCCTGCGACTCCCACGGGGGGGGGGGGGGGGCGGAACACAAAGTCCCCCAAAGAAAGTTTATTGATGATCAGAAAATAATTCGGCGGGGGGGGGGGGGTGTGCGACAGGCTGCCAATCAGAGACCCTTCCCCCGGGCCGCCCTCCCCGGCACCCGGCGCCGCCGAGCCGAGGCGAAGGAAGCGCTTCCAGGCTGGCCGGAGGCGGCTGATGTGAAACACAAACCCCCGACGGGCACGGACACCCCGAGCCGCCGCCGCCGTCCCGGCCCCGGGGTGCAGGAGCAGCCCCCCTGCCCCGGCCCGTGCATCTGCCCGCGGCAAGTGCGAGCCCCCGCCCCCCCCCAGCGGTCACCCAGCAGCCGCTCCCCAACCGGCCCCAGCTCCTACCTGGCCGCTCCCGCACCGCCACTGTCCCCGGGGCCGGGGGCTGCAACCAACAAAACCCGTCACCCAGGCAACGAGCGGGGCCCGCCTCCTCCGCCCGGACCCACGCTGATTGGAGAGAGCCGCTTGACCGTCCCGGGGCTGGGGGGGCCAGGAGGAGGCGGTGCCCGAATCTGAGCACGTGGTGAGCGGGGGTTAGTTACCGTAGCAACGGAGCAGCTGGGGAGGCGGAAGAAGAAGAGCTGTGCGTTAAGGGGCGGGGGATCCAGGGGGAGCTTGTGGCGGTCTTGGGGGCGGGGAAGCAGCCGTGAGCCCGCACGCCCAGCATTCCCGTTACGTCATGGCGCTAGTGAAACGAGCCTTGCGCTGTGCATTGTGGGAAGGGCTGCGGGTCCCGCAGGAGCAGAGAGCCCCTGCCCCGGAGCGCTTCCAAGCTAAGCGTGGGGCTCGCTGCGGCAGGGCGGGGAGGCGGTCACACGGTGACAGCGCCAGCCGGAGGGCGGTGTACTAGGCAAGGGCAGCAGGTAGGCAGCGTGCCCTGAGCAGGTGTCCAGGAGTGAGTGTCTGGAGGGTGGCCTGCTGTCTTCATGCAGTTTTACAGTACGTGAGTGTGATACAAATGAAAGTGTGAAAATACTTGCGGGGATACTAGACTAATGTGAAATAGTTATCTCAGGCATTGGCACCCTGACAGCAGGATTGTCTGGCTATGTAGACTCCCTCCTCAGGCCCTACGCTACCAGCACTCCCAGCTACCTTCGAGACACCACTGACTTCCTGAGGAAACTTCAATCCATTGGTGATCTTCCTGATAACACCATCCTGGCCACTATGGATGTAGAAGCCCTCTACACCAACATTCCACACAAAGATGGACTACAAGCCGTCAAGAACACTATCCCCGATAATGTCACGGCTAACCTGGTGGCTGAACTTTGTGACTTTGTCCTTACCCATAACTATTTCACATTTGGGGACAATGTATACCTTCAGATCAGCGGCACTGCTATGGGTACCCGCATGGCCCCACAGTATGCCAACATTTTTATGGCTGATTTAGAACAACGCTTCCTCAGCTCTCGTCCCCTAAAGCCCCTACTCTACTTGCGCTATATTGATGACATCTTCATCATCTGGACCCATGGAAAAGAAGCCCTTGAGGAATTCCACCATGATTTCAACAATTTCCATCCCACCACCAACCTCAGCCTGGTCCAGTCCACGCAAGAGATCCACTTCCTGGACACTACAGTGCTAATAAACAATGGCCACATAAACACCACCCTATACCGGAAACCTACTGACCGCTATTCCTACCTGCATGCCTCCAGCTTTCACCCTGACCACACCACACGATCCATCGTCTACAGCCAAGCTCTGCGTTACAACCGCATTTGCTCCAACCCCTCAGACAGAGACAAACACCTACAAGATCTCTGTCAAGCTTTCTTACAACTACAATACCCACCTGCAGAAGTAAAGAAACAGATTGATAGAGCCAGAAGAGTTCCCAGAAGTTACCTACTACAGGACAGGCCTAACAAAGAAAATAACAGAACGCCACTAGCGGTCACCTTCAGCCCCCAACTAAAACCCCTCCAATGCATTATTAAGGATCTACAACCTATCCTAAAGGATGACCCAACACTCTCACAAGTCTTGGGAGACAGGCCAGTCCTTGCCTACAGACAGCCCCGCAACCTGAAGCAAATACTCACCAACAACCGCATACCACACAACAGAACCACTAACCCAGGAACTTATCCTTGCAACAAAGCCCGTTGCCAACTGTGCCCACATATCTATTCAGGGGACACCATCACAGGGCCTAATAACATCAGCCACACTATCAGAGGCTCGTTCACCTGCACATCCACCAATGTGATATATGCCATCATGTGCCAGCAATGCCCCTCTGCCATGTACATTGGTCAAACTGGACAGTCTCTACGTAAAAGAATAAATGGACACAAATCAGATGTCAAGAATTATAACATTCATAAACCAGTCGGAGAACACTTCAATCTCTCTGGTCACGCAATCACAGACATGAAGGTCGCTATCTTAAAACAAAAAAACTTCAAATCCAGACTCCAGCGAGAAACTGCTGAATTGGAATTCATTTGCAAATTGGATACTATTAATTTAGGCTTAAATAGAGACTGGGAGTGGCTAAGTCATTATGCAAGGTAGCCTGTTTCCTCTTGTTTTTTCCTAACCCCCCCCCCCCCCCCCCCCCCGATGTTCTGGTTTAACTTGGATTTAAACTTGGAGAGTGGTCAGTTTAGATGAGCTATTACCAGCAGGAGAGTGAGTTTGTGTGTGTATGGGGGTGGGGGGGATGTGAGAAAACCTGGATTTATGCAGGAAATAGCCCGACTTGATTATGTAAAGAGTTGTCACTTTGGATGGGCTAGCACCAGCAGGAGAGTGAATTTGTGTGGGGGGGTAGAGGGTGAGAAAACCTGGATTTGTGCTTGAAATGGCCCACCTGATGATCACTTTAGATAAGCTATTACCAGCAGGACAGTGGGGTGGGAGGAGGTATTGTTTCATATTCTCTGTGTATATATAAAGTCTGCTGCAGTTTCCACAGTATGCATCTGATGAAGTGAACCGTAGCTCACGAAAGCTCATGCTCAAATAAATTGGTTAGTCTCTAAGGTGCCACAAGTACACCTTTTCTTTTTGTCTTACAAGGTGGAAGATCTTTGCCTAATCAGGTTTCTCACCTGTATCAGTTTCCAGAGACTTCAACTCCTGCCACCTTGTTTGAAGGACTTACCTTGCTCAGATTGCAAAAGCTTTGTTCCCTTCTGCCCAATTCAGAGGTTCTGAAACTGTGGTCCGTGGACCACCAGTGGTCCGCAAGCTCCATTCAGGTGGTTCACGAATAGTTCCCTCTAAGGTGCGCACCTGGGCAGCTGCACATGAGAGAATGAAGGGCCACCCACCTTATTAGTGGATCCATGCCTGCATGGCTCCACTAATTAGGTGCCTGGACCCTGGAGAAGATGTACATGTAAGGTGAGGTGGTGGCCTTGGGGGGAATAGGGGGTAGGTGGGAGAGGTTAGTAGGGTGAAAAGAGGGGGTGGGGGGAATTTGGGACATGCAGGGCTGCGGCGACCAGAGAAAGAGGTAACTTTCCCCAGGTCCCGGGCTGCAGCTGCTGGGTAGAGTTGGCCCTCTTTCCCAGACTCAGATCTGTGACTGCTGTGGCAAGAGAGACCCCCCCCCCACCCCGGCTCCTTCCCAACCCCAGCTCGGGGGCTGCTGTGTGTGTGGGGGGAGAGAGAGCACATCCATTGCATTATAAAGGTAGAACAAAAGAAGTTAATTATTAAGAGGTTTTTTTATATAGCGCTTTTATCCAAAGCGCTTTACAATAGTTGGCTAATGGTACAAACAACATTTGGAAAGATCATTAAGTGGGCTGCCGAGACCCTCAGCAATTTTCAAGTGGTCCACAAAAAAAAAAAAGTTTGAGAACCATTGGTCTAATGGATGCCAAAGATGGCTTCTGTCTTTGCATATATCTTCCAAAGTTCAATGACTTCCCCCACCCTCCCAAAGAAGCAGAATGACCTCATGCTGTTCTTACCTTCTTTTGGACTTTCCATCCCCTTGAAGCTTCATTTACGTAGAACTCAGCCATTGGTTTTGGTCACACAGATACAATGGATTTTGTTTTAGCTGCTCTGAAAAAACTCTTGCAGCAGCTTAGATAGAGATCTGCAGGAAAACTGAAAAAGGGGTTTTAAAACATTGTGAAAATCACCTCTCCAGAGTTGAATAATAATGGTGGGTGACAGTATCATAATGTCTTAGCTTGCATAAAAATATAGTTAGTTTTAGAAGTAGGGCTTTAAATAAGTAATGATAATTTATAGTTAAAAATCCAAAATGGCCACCACAATAATTCTCTATTAGAAAACATCAAAATGGAGGATCACACTATATTAACGAATAGATGATGCCCTGTGTGGATCGGTAAAAGGGAGGTGAGAATAGGATCGGTGGCATAAGAGGCAGCGAGGATTGTAGCCAGTGTAAAGGATTGGTACATAAAGGGCAAAGCTAGCTTTGCCTCTTCTGCACCAACACCCTTATCACGAGGCACTTGTAACCCCAACCCAATCCCCGCACAGGAAGAAGGGTTAGAACTAGAGTTATAGCCCATGTTCTGTCAATAATTTAGTTTTATTAAAGGAATTTGTAAGTCCGGAGTGATCAGGGTTATAACCCTGGCCACACCCAAGTCCCAACTTCCTTAAAAAAACATAGGTGGTTATACCTGAGACCAGTACCTAGCTAAGCAAGGAATAAATTAGAATGACAGCAAAAGGGAAACTGAGGCACAATATAATACTTTAGAAATAATGTTGGGAAACAACTTAGAAGATTGTTAGAAAGTAGGATGCAGTCCTTGGAAAGAAAAATGCGTTCACTGGACCTGGTGCTTACCAGCAACTGTGTGAGCAATGGGTTCAGCCTGAGAAAAAAAGAATTCTCAGGAGAGCCTAGTGAAAAGGAGAAAAAGTAAGCTGCTTTACAGGGTTTGCAAATGGTGGCTGGAGTTTTATGTAAGGAAATAAATAGTTTAAGGCTGAGGAAACGAGTTAGTTTACTAATTCCTCTTTTTCTATTTTAGAACAGAGATAAATGAATGGAAGATGAAAGCAGAAAAGTTATCTGAGGTATAAGAAAAGCTAAAGGGAGAATTAGCTAATTCACAGAAGGAATTAGTTAATTCAAAGGTAGAGGCTGAAGTTTTGAGAGCCACTGTGATGGCACATACTGCTCAGATGACTGCCTCACAGGAGGAATTGACTAGCATAAAAACAGAGGCGGATATGTTAAAAGCCACTATACTAACTCAAAACATTCAGATTATAGCCATGCAAAAAGAAGCCAGTAAGGCACAAATAGAATGGGGTCTCAACTGTGGTTGTGAAATAACTAAATAGCCCCTGTGTGTCTGAGATAGATGAATCCAAAAGGTTGAAAGACCAGAGTCAGCTGCTTCAGCAGCAACTGAAATTTTGTTGTTACGAGATGGTTCAGCTTAATATAGGAGTTCACAGACTGAAAAGCTGCAGTGCATTTGTGATGAGTGAGGGCTTGAAGTGTTAGGGAAGCAGGAGTGCTGCTCAAGGGGAAAATGTATGGCCACACAGGCAATGGTAGATATGGTTCTGAGGTCATAGAACCAGCAGATTAAAACTAACCAGGCATATGGCTAGCATGAAGTGGCTTGCATGTAGAAAAAATGGCAGGCTATGCAGGTAGTTAATAGCATGGCTCAGAAAAGTGGTGCTGTGGTGAACATCAAAGAAGTTAAACTCATGGGATTAAAAGAAAAGAACAAGGTCAGCCCTGGTACTAGTTCAGAAATCTTTTCTTAATTCCCCTATGGAAGTAATATTAATAGTTGGAAGACAAAAGAAGAAATCTTTTTTTCCAGAAGGGGATTCTGATTCTCTAAGAAGTTTTCCTAAGAAGGAACAATGGGTAAAAGAAAACCCAAATTCATGTATGACTTTGGAATTAATGCATAAACAGAAAGGTACTATAGTAGGTAATGTATTACACTCTGAAGAAGCCTTAGTTTCACAATTTGGTGTAACAGTAAAAACAGCAGTAACATTTAGTAATTCAGACACTACTTTAAACAATGTAGGAAAAGGTAAAATACAAAAGGGATTGCCACTCCCAAGAAAAAAGCCGAAAGGGTTATCAGTGGTGAGCTTTTCCAATAACAATCCTAAGGGAAAAGAAAACCAGCAACATAAACAAGATGGATAATAATTGAGAAAATAAAATAAAAACAAAATCTGGTTCCTTATGAACAAAGGAAAGGTGATGCAGGAAGAAATTAGCTTTGGAGAAAAATTATTACACTATGAACCCAGAGACCAGATTAATGGTTTACCTACAGAAGAACTACTTAAAAAGATTAATCATAAAAGGAGTATGCCTATGGCTCCACCACACCCCGAAGATCAGATATAGGGAAGCGGAGTGCCCCCCCATCTCCCCAATGTCATGAAAAGATCATGCTGATCTAGTGGCACATTTAAAACCAGATGATTGGGAACAACCCACTGGATATGTGGAATTTAATAGTGGAGCATCCAGATAAGATATGCTAATAGCTACAGTTGCCTTTTTTTTTAAAGTTAGTACAAAGCATAGGAATTTTTGGGACCCTCAGTGGCAATAAAAATTAAGGACTTTATGAAGTAGAAATAAAATACTAATTACCCCTCCACTTTGTTTTGATTAAGAACAAAACAAGGAAAGGAGAACCAAAATAATAATAATACTTATTGTAGGGACATTAAAAAGATTATAAAAATGCAAAGAGAAGGGATGTAGAATGAAATATGAGATGAAGAAGCTTGGTATATATCTTCAGATTGGACTGAGCAAGATTTAGATGAGTTCTTGGAAAGTCTACCAGTGATAGAAACAACTAATTTAAATTCAACAGCAGACCAAGCAACCCAAAACATTAACACCAGTCCATCAATCGGAGAAGCATCCGCTTCAAATGATAGTTCCTTTGTGGAAGGATTATAATGGAAGACTAGTGATCACAATTAGCATAGCTAAAGAGAAAATATAACACTTATGCTACCTAGACACTGGATCTACTTAATCTGTGTTAAATAACAGATACAGTCCAGCAGACCTCCCACAACACAGTAGTAGTACAAGGAGTATTAGGAATAAAAAGTGAAATTCCATTAACACATACACTAATAGTTAATATAGGACAGGAAAAGTATTCGGAGTGTGTTTCACGATTATGAACCTAAGAGACAATGGACTTGGAATAGTGGGAATGGAAATTCTCACGGCACTCCAATGCTCAATAGATTTAGAAAGAAATATCTTTTGAGCAATAGTATAGAAAATAAGTAAAATAATGTGTATATAAATGGATTTTTTTATTTGATAGAGAAAGACAAGGGAAGAATAAAATAGATAAATGAGATAGCAGCATGGTTTGGGGAAATACCAGATATGAATGGAGAAGAAATGGAAAATCTGATGGATAATGAAGAAATGAGAGATTTACTAGATCTAGATATGCCAAAAAATGAATTTATAAGATTATCTGAAGCAGAAGCAACAGATGAAGAAAGTGGAATAACGGTGCCTGAAGAAGAGGCTACCTCTCCATTAATTGTATCACAAATATATTTAGATCAGTATGATAGACCATTGGTTCCAATCTGAATTACTGAAGCAGAAATTGAAACACTGCTATATTGGATACTGGATCTTTGCTTTCATTAATAAATACAGCGATGGATGTAGATATTACCCGATATATGTCAAGAGACCTGTATATGCTTACAGGACTATTGGGAGAACAGATACCCATTCCTTTAAGTATTCCTCTATCTAACAACATAGGTATTAGATGTATAGATAATGTAAGATTCAGTTTGGCAAATATGGGAGTCAATAGTAGAGGACTTATTAGAATAGACATTATAAAAAAGGTAAATTGTATGACTGATATAAATGCAAGGGTACTGTGGAATGCAGTTGAATAGAATAAAATCAAGGAAAATGAGTATGTAATAGATAACACTTATTTACTACCTAATTAAACTTAAGTTTAGTAATAACTATAAATATGGAATAAGTTTAATGATAGCATTAATTATAGAAATAAATTAGATTATGTTAACAATAAGAGATAAGTTTCAGAGTAACAGCCGTGTTAGTCTGTATTCGCAAAAAGAAAAGGAGTACTTGTGGCACCTTAGAGACTAACCAATTTATTTGAGCATGAGCTTTCGTGAGCTACAGCTCACTTCATCGGATGCATACCGTGGAAACTACAGCAGACTTTATATATACACAGAGAATATGAAACAATACCTCCTCCCACCCCACTGTCCTGCTGGTAATAGCTTATCTATTACCAGCAGGACAGTGGGGTGGGAGGAGGTATTGTTTCATATTCTCTGTGTATATATAAAGTCTGCTGTAGTTTCCACGGTATGCATCCGATGAAGTGAGCTGTAGCTCACGAAAGCTCATGCTCAAATAAATTGGTTAGTCTCTAAGGTGCCACAAGTACTCCTTTTCTTTTTGCAAATAAGAGATAAGTTAGTGACAGTAATGGAATTAAAAGTTAGTTAAATAATATATATAAATGGTAATTTTATTTATAAATAGGGAAAGAAAAAGAGAAAGTAAGTGAGTTAAAGAGGAACAAACAAAAAAGAGAATGGCAGGTGGTGGATGGTTCAGTGAATTTCCCAATCTTAATGATGAAGAAATTATGGATTTATTAGAAATGATGGAGGCAGAATTAGAAAATAGGATGAATAATATAGAGAGAGACAGTGAGGAAAGCAGAGATAGGAGAAAAGAACAGGCCTTTCCCATAAGGATAAAACAATTACTTTTGGACCCCAGACCTTTAGTCCCAGTAATCCTCAATAACCCAGAGATCAGAGTGGGATTATTGTGTCACTTGGATACAGGGTCAACATTATCAATTTTAAATCTGGATATAAATGTGGATCTAACACCATAGCAGTCAAGAGATGTTTGTATTGTCATTGGGGTGGGAGGACAATTTCTCATCCCTATAAATAGGCCAATGTCCATCAACATAGGCCAATGGCAAATCATTGCCAGATTTGGCCTTATGCATAGAAGAATCAAAGGATATGGAATTATAGGGGTAAACATCTTTGGAGTGTTAAATTGTTTGATCAATGTCAACCATAGAGTATTATGGAGTGCAATTAATATTTTTTATTTGTTTAATATTTTAGTTATGACAGCTCTATCAATAATTAAAAGGGTACTATTCAGTAATAAGGAAAATGTAGATATAATGAAGGTGTTAAGGAATAGTATAAGAAACAACAATTAGTATAGGTAAATAAGATAATTGTTAATTGGTATCATGAGATAGGTGAGTTAAAAATGTTAACTAGTATAAATTTGTGGAAGGAAGAATTTTTTTGCATTATTATTAAAAGGTTTTGTTAAAATAAAAGATGAATTTGTCTTATAAAAAGGGTCATTCATTATTTCTATTTTTCAGATGAAAGGCAGATGGTAGAAGATGCAGTTCTATTCATCTTGGCTCTTCTGGGCATATATGGCTGTGGGTTTCTGCTATGGTGGTGCAAATTTAGACAAGACACTGATGAAATGGTGGGCCGAGTTCTATCCCAATAACGAAGCTGTTGCCAGTAATATTGAGAAATGTGTTTTTTACAATTCCAAGAATAGAAAATAAGCCAAGGGCAGTAAAAGTGGTAATGGGACCACCAAGGATTATAGAATTCATGGCACAAAATCATATGGGTAGAATGCTCATTACTGATGCCCATAAATATATATATATTTTTGATGCTCAGGGCAAAGGAAATTTAATGGCCCAAAGATCTGGTGAAAATTCACCACAACCTTTAGGGTTTACATGGAAATCACATGAAGGGATAGGCACAATACACAGTAGAGCAGTAAGAGAAGGACACTGGCAGTGTATAATAATAGAAGGATTAAAAAAAAATTGCATGCTCACCTAATCTTTTGATAAATCCAGAAAGAATGAGTTCAGATATGAAAATATAATGGATTAAGCGCAACAAAACAGCTACTGTCAATAGTATTCAAAATTGTACTTTCACAGTTCCAAATAATAAGCAATAATGGTTGTAATGGGCCCATAAAATTATAGAGTTGATTGCACAAAATTTGAAAGGTAGAACACGTGACCCACAATGCTCAAATGACATATTACATATGTTTCTCAAGTTTGGTTATTACATTTTATAACCCATCACAATTATTATGCTGTGCCTAAACCTTCAGTATGTGAATGGGATGCTACTGGCAATACAAGTAAAATATGGGGGAAAGGAGTAAGGACTGGGCAATGTGCAATATAGATCTACAAAAATTGTATGTTCATATAATTTCACAATACATCCAGACCAGAATTCTCCATGCGCTCTTATAGCATGGCATGTCCCTAAATGGAGTGCAAAAAGTAAAGAAACAAATACTTATACAATGGGCTCATAATCTTAATAATAAAACAGAAGTTGAATTTGGGATCACTGATTCATGAGGAGAAATTAGTAAAATAGATATTCAATGTGAATTACAGACCAAAGTTATATTTAGAAATCAATTAAAATGACAAGTACCTTGGTATACACATATAATAAAAGACACTGAGTGTAAGGAAGAAAGTAAAAGCCAACTCTTATTTCACTATTGGCGTGAAGGTAGTATGACCATAACAAAGGCGTGGAAGTGGACTATGGAGAATGACTGGCCCTCAAATTAATTACACTTTTACTATTTTGTGGACACCCAAACCTGAATCAATTGGTGTTGACCCATATATAGTAAAGGAAGATAAAAGAAACAAATAATCGACCCCACTTACTCTCTAAAGAAAGTAATGGCAGTTTTAGCTTTCTTGCCAAAAACCACAATGCAGTAAATATATTGAACTTCTATTTGTAGGATGGAAAAGATGGATGGAAACCCACTTTTATTAAAAGCTCCTATAAATAGAAAGAAAGAAAAGAAGTTTGATGGATACAATGTTGGGAGGAACTGGTACAGGGCTTGGAGTACTAAACAGTATAGATGAGGAGGTATTGGCTCATCAGTTAAATGCAGTAGGACAACACTTAGGAGCTTTATCTAAATCTTTGATAACATCTTTGAATGACATAAGTACCAGCCATCACCTCACCGCCAGTTTGCTCCCGGGCTGGGAGAAGTTGCAAAACGCTGATCATATAGCCATACTAAACACAGTAGAAGTATTGCAAAGCAGTGAATCTATGGCATTGGCTTGCATAAAAGCACAAACATGGACCAGTGATGTAGTAAAAGATATTATATGAGATTGAATGAGTGGTATCTTACCTTTCGAAATAAGTCTAATATGGAAGCGTACCATCAAAGCTGAACAAAAGTCATATTCTTGGTGGAAAATGGTAAACTTTACATATAATCCACAAGTAAATCAAATTACTACATTTATAGTCAATGTCTGAAGCCTGAACTGAATGGATATCTCCTATTGTAGCACTAGGGTTAAATGTTAATGCTAGTGTAATGCAAACAGTAGAACACAAATTATGGGCCATAAAACAGAATAATACGTGGAAAACTGTGGAACTTGAGGCTTGTATGGAAGAACGAGGAATGGGATATATTTGTAATAGTGATGCAATCCAGCCATATGATGTACATTTAAATGAAGGAAAATGTCTATCAATTAAACCCTTTTCTCTTTAATGGATCAATCTTTGTGTACATTGGAAATAAATGTGTGTTACAAGTTGGTGTACATATGTACGTTATTAACTTTAAACAATATAATTCAATCCTTCTGAGAATAAATGTTTTTGTAATATCACCTCACTGATTGGTTGCGATTTCAATTTCACACAACCTGAAATTGAAAATGAAGAAATTAAGGATCAATATCAGATATGTGAAAGGATCACCCCAATACCTTTTGGAGTAGATATAAGTTTAGTTAAGCAATTAATGGACATCCTGAATTGTGAAAAGGCCCAGGAAAATGCACAAAGAGTTATGATTATTGTCTCCACAAGTGTGACTAAAGTGAGAATCAAGAGTAGTGAGGAATTATGCCAGTACGAAGACAGGTCCGCTCAGTCTCCTGAAAATGAGAGCCTTGAGCCAACACTGGACAAGACCACACACTCATTGGACTCAAATAAAATGCTGGATTGATAAAGGAGTGTACAACCCGGCAGGAGAAGATTGAATCAAAAGATTTTTGCTTTAGCTGCTCTGAAAAACTCTTGCAGCACCTTGGATAGAGATCTACAGGAAAACTGAAAAAGGGGTTTAAAAACACTGTGAAAATTACCTCTCCAGATTTGAATAGTAATGGTGGTGACAGTATCATAATGCCTTAGTGTGCATAAAAATGTAGCTAGTTTAATAATTAGGTTTTTAAATATGTAATGATACTTTATAGTTAGAAGTCCAAAATTGCCACTGCAATTATTCTCTATTAGAAAATATCACAATGGAGGACATAGACTACATTGACCAACTGCAGATAAACAGGGTGTGACGATGCTGCCTGTGGGAGCCAGCTGAGGTCACTCAGTCAGGGTCAACTGCAAACCGAACAGGGCAAACAAACCCCAAACGCTGGTGGATATTCCAATACTTAGATTTACTAAGCCAGAACAAAACAGCTCCTGTAGTACCTCACTGGTTACTCAGAAGACCAAACAACGCAGTTCCCTTCAAGTTCCCAGCCTCGGGCCTCCATCCAGACACACATGTCAGATATGATGATGATTATTGAAAATCTTCTCTCATTATATGAAAGAAAAGGTTCTCCAACCCCAAAGGATCATTCACACACCCAGGTCCAATTATAACTTAGATCTTACCCAAAATACACACTGATAGCCAATTCTTATCAACTAAGCTAAAGTTTATTAAAAAAGAAAAGAGAGAGAGTGTTGGTTAAAAGATCAATATACATACAGACTTGAATTCAATTCTTGAGGTTCAGATATATAGCAGAGATGAGCTTGTAGTTGCCAAAAGTCCTTTTAGAAATAGTCCATAGGTTATAGTCCAATGTTCATATTCAGGGTGACTCCAGTCAGTGACTGGGGATCTCAATCCTTATGGCTTAGGGTTTCCCCTTCTTGAAACCCAAAGCAGATCTGAGATGAAGAAGGATCACGTCCGAGGGTTTTTATACATTTCCAGCAGCCTTTTGGCCTGAGAAAACAATAGGCTTAACTTTCCTTCTCCCAAACATCATGGCAATTAGCACAAGTTAATTTATCTATTAAACAGTTCAGATACAGGTTACCACAACCTTCAAAGAGACATATAGACAATAATACTATTTCATTCAAGTGTCTTCCTAAATGTTAATACTCCCTTTTTGATCCATGAATCAAAGCCATAGTAATAGACAAGAATTGTTTGCTTACAGCACAAGACCTGAGCCCACATCTACCCTTCTGTCTCTAACAATGCAGGCTTGCATTTCAAAGCTCTATTCATATACATATCTTCCTAAAAGTTCAGACATGGATCAGGTCAGTCTGTGAGTTAATTAACTCTTTCTGGCCCTGTCACCTTTCAATAAGATATTAAATTACACTTGTAACATCACACAGGGTGAAATAAAATTCAAAAAGTCATGAGCTCCCTCCAAAATACCTGAAGGGAGGGGTAAGGAAGAGGAGCAGCTTGAAGGACAGGCAGAGCTGATTGGTTGAACAGTTGCTGCCCACACAGGGAGGATCCATGCTACTTACCAAGCCTGAAATAGCAACCAATCAGAGAAGACCAGAAACTGAATATGAGGAGACAGCCAGCAGGCTGGTGGGTGGGTGTGGAGGTGATCAGAGAGTGGAGAGCAACCAGCAGCAGCAAAAGGAGAAGATCGAAGAGCAGAAATAGGAGAGCAGTAGACTGATCAGAAGAACCTAGATGGTTCACAGGGATTCAGAAAGATCAAGTGTAAGTTTGATTTTTCTGTCTCTTTCTTAGAAGAATGTTTGTGTGTCTTTTGTAAATAAAGCTGGATGCCCATCTTTGAGTGAAATCCACCTCACCTCATTCTGTCACTGTTCGATCACCACTCATAGAATAGTAATGTTAAGTTGTAACTTCTTTTTATGTATAGAAGCTTGACTTATTACATGATAATAAGTATAGTGTTTTAATATTGCATTGGGGCTTTTATACATAGGTATGTGGGTTCTCTGTGTACCTTAAGTATTACATTCTAACTGCTATATGGTATGCTATGTGTTCTGTGCAGTCTACATCCTTCCTTTTATTGTGCTGCTTTCTAAACAAGAGTTAATGTTTTACTATATCTTATGCTTTCTTGAATGTATTGTAACTGAGTATTCCCTTTAAATAAATGATACTTGTTTTCAAAGAATTGCTGCTTGTATGTCAATCCTTTGAGCGGAGGGCTGTATCTGTGCCCTTCCAAGGGTTAGCAGGATTAGCCTGTTCTGGGGAGTCCTCTGTAGGTCGGAGAGAAACCCCTTGGCAATTCTTCTAGAGTGGGCCATCACGTTATTACCTGTTTGGGCAGAATAAATTGACCATAAATTTATGGTTATAGGCAATCCAGTTTTGGGATGCCTCATGTCCAAATTGTGGAGCAACACCTTGTTTAATTTCTTTGAAGACAAGTAGATGTCTGCCTGTCTAGGAGGGAATGTGTTTCTCCCTGTTTTGGCCAGAGACTTTAAAGAATATTAGGTATCCATATTTCCTCATGTAGTGTTAATACACAATGGTATCACTAGTGTATCATTAGATTTCTGAAAAGACCCCTCAACACACTTTTATAATATAATATTCTATGCAATCAGTTACTTCAGTTGCTAATCACTTATCAGTTGCTTATCTCCTTATCTTTGTATACTAGTAAACTTTTTTTTGCCAAGTATTCTTTGAAAAAAAATAAAACCCAGACCAAGCTTTTCTCATCTGGTGGGTATAGATGCCATGTTGTCTCCTCTCCCTCTCATTTTGATAGTCCTGTTTACTGCTTATATGTATATTGAAGCAAATCCACATTTTTGTTTAGAAGAGACCTATTTAACACCTTTTATCTAGGCAAGGCCATCTGGTCTTGAACATGTTCTAGTAATGTCATCCAGGGAAAATTCATAACTTGTTGCTATGTACATTTCACCATGGTATTTTTGACCAGTAAATTATTAGTTTTTAAATGATACCTCACAAAACCTATTTTATACAAAGGTTATCACAGTAGTGTGTAGGATGTGAATATTTGGGTGCTTTGGGTCACAAGTCCCATTCTCTGAGAATAGAGGCTAAGCTTTGCATTTTAGATATTGCAAGCTACTGTCTGAACAAGACTAAGCCATTCTGCAAGACACCTAGATTGTACCACCTAGGGATAATACTAAAGGGTTAATCATTCTCCACCTGGAGACTGTAAAAGTAAGATGCTAGGGAGTCTCTAGCATATGAACTCAGAGGTGGATTACCTTTTTGTAAGGCCCTGGGCCTGAGCAAGTAGGGGAGCAGGGTTAGGGCATGGGGACTTCCCCCACACCCCAGCAGGGGCACTGGGCAGGGAAGCAAGCCCCCATGCCCTGGCAGGAGCACTGGGTGGGAGGGAAGCCAGGGGAACTGCAGATGGAAGGGGTGGGGAATTTCATACCATTTCTGTCACTCCAGTCTTGAAGATCTTAATTATCCTTCCATTTAATTTAAACTGAATCAACTTGTGATCACTCAATCTAAGGTTACTTCCTACAACCAGCTCTTCTATAATGTCATCACTACTTACCCAAACCAAGTCTAAACTTGCATTACCTCTTCTTGGTTCTCTGAGAATTTGATGAAGAAAACTGTCATCTATCACATCCAGGAATAACTAGACCCCAGCAACATTAGTAGCATTAGTTCTCCAATCTATATCTGGGAAGTTAACATCTCCCATTGTGACACAATTCCCAACAGTATTTATCTCTCTGTTAATATCAAAGAGATCTCTATCATATCCAAGTCCATCCTGGGGGGTGGGGTCTATAATGGGATGACACACACCTCTTGTGAGTGCCCCCTGGCCGAGTGAGTGTTCCTTCACTCTCTCAGGTTGTGTTAACTCCTGTTGATAGTTTCTCAGGTGGGTTTTCAGTGACTCAGCCCTCCGGCCAAGCCAGACACACTCTGTATGTGAAACAGCACAGACCCCTTCCGGGATATACAGTCCACCAGGGGCTTCTCCCAGTACCCCTCTGTTGGTATCTCTGTAGCCCTCCTCAGGCTCAGTTTTTAAAGAGTCCCAGCCATACCCCCAGGGCTTCCTCCCTGGAGACACTGTCTTCCTGCAGCCCTTCCTGGGCTCAGTGCTTACTGAGTCCCAGCAGTCAGCTCGGAGCTCCCTGCCAGCAACTATCTTGGGATCAGTCCCAGCAGCCAGTCAGGAGCTACCTCTGTACTCCATTCCCTGCCAGCAGCTGATATATCCCTGGTCCTGCTCAGCTTCTTCAGCCAGCTAGGAACATAGTACTTATTCCTCCAGCTCCAGGCAGCTTCTTTTATGCGAGTCTGCTGGGCCCTGTTTGGCTGCTGCCTGCAGCGTCCCTCATTGGCTGCTTCCCTGCAACCACTGGAGGCCTCTTGGACGACTTCTCTTCTGCTCGTCTCTAGGATGGGATGTAGTAGGACCCTAAGGCCTCCAGCACACTCCTAGTCCGGTCAGTCACAAGGTCTATAGCAGACCCCTATCACTATCCTAATAGAACTTTTTTTTACAGTCCTTCTGGAAATTGATTTTGACCCAGACAGATTCTATTTTGTCCATACTATCATTTCATATCTCTTTACAGTCACCACTTCATTGATATACCATGCTACCCTGCCACCTTAATCTTTATTCATACCCTTCAACACCTGTGTTCCTGTCATGAGTACTCTTCCACCATGTTTCTGTAATCCCTGTAATGTCTGGTTTGATCTGCTGTGCCACCTGCCCTATTTAGCCAGTGATGTAATGTAAGGCTCAATTGTTTATCCTTTCTCAATAGCAAAACTTTCCATGAAAAACCACCAGAGACAACTGAAAACTTTAAAAACCACCTAAAGGTCAAAAAGGAACATTACAATAACACAGATTTGTGATCCTGGAATGTATAAACAGGAAAATCTCAAATAGAGGTAGATTATTTTACTTCTATATTTGGCACTGTGTGACTGTTGCTGGAATACCATGTCCATTTCTGGTGCTAACAATTCAAGAAGGATGTCGATAAATTGGAGAGGATTCGGAGAAGAACCACAAAAATGATGAAAGGATTAGAAAACATGCCTTAGTGATAGATTCAAGGAGCTCTATCTATTTAGCTTCTTAAAGAGAAGATTAAGCTTTGACTTGATTACAGTCCAAGTATCTTTGTGGGGAACAAATATTTAATAATGGACTCTTCAATCTAACAGAGAAAGATACAACCAAGTCCAATTGCTGGAAGTTGAAACAAGACAAATTCAGACTGGAAATAAGGAATACATTTTATGATGAGAGTCACTAATCAGTGGAACAGTTTACTAAGGGTTGTTGTGGAATCTCCAATACTGACCATTTTAAAATCAAGATTGGATGGACTTTCTAAAAGAGATAGTGTAAGAATTATTTTGGAGCAGTTTTATGGCCTGTGTAACACAGGTTGGACCAGAATGATCACAGTGGTCCCTTCTGGTCTTGGAACCTATGAATGTTTGGATCTTGGTTTTTGTGAAACTGGCCAGCTCTGCAACAGACTGAATTGAAGGGGAAAACCTGCTTTATTAGATAAGAAAGCCACTTTATTAGTAAGTGGTGACCCAGGTTCCTATTTAATGCTTTTTTTTTTGCATTATAACCAGTTGTTTCCATCACTTTAGCTTATTTCTAATTAAATCTTTATCCTTTCTTCAATAAACCTACTTTTTGTTAGTACTCTGAAGTGCAGTGTGGTTGACAAGAATGGTGATTTAAGGTAAAACAGGTAAACTGGGGTATACTGCACCTTTGGAATGTCTGTGAGTAGACCGTGTCAGTGGCTGGATATTACAGGGGAATGCTTCAAACAGACTCAGGGACTGGGGTGCACCTGTTGTTAACCTGAAAGGCTGGTGCTGTTAGGGAGCTGACACCCAGCCAGGTACAGGAAAGACTCCCTTATGCTGGAGAGAGGTGCCTCAGGAACTGTCACATTCACCCACATGAGTAAGGATTCCATAATTGGACACCACATTGCATAAAGTATTTGTGTATACCTTTATATTGTTCCAGTGGAAAGTCCTTGGCCACAGTGGTCAGAGGAAATACTGATAGCAACAGTAGGACTCCTCTATTAGGTATTGCAACACCTAAATTTTAGGTGCTTTGCCACCCAGTGGAATCCATCATTGTGAGTTAGACACCTAGGCTTCTCATTTTTAGGCACCTAACTCTCCCCATGATTTGTATTAGATCTATAAAAGCCAGATGGCTGAGTGGGGAGCTGTCTAAGGTAGCCAAGGAGAAGAGTGTGGCCTAATCCCCATCTCTCAAGGGGATTTAGGTGTCTAAGTCTGGCCTGAAGGGAGGTGCCTGTCTCTCCTTGAGATTCTCAGCCATGAACCCTTGCCTGGAGTTAGATACCTAAGATCTTTTTGGTAAGAAATACAAGAGTCAGAAGAGGTCTTTCCTCCTCCCCCCCCCCCCCAACTGTATAATTTTTAGCCCAGTGGAACTCTGAGACTTGCTGCTGTATTTTTGGGCTGTTTGTGTTTTGCAGAGTAGACAACACCCTCTCTTGTTGAAGATGTTCCACTGTGTATCAATAGTCAATGGGCCACAGAAATAGTGGCTCTCTAGCCCAGTGATTTAAGGCCCTCACCTGGGAGGGGAGAGACCATGTTTAAATCCCATTTGTACATCAGGCAGAGGGGGAAATTGAACTCAGATCACCCACATCGCAGATGAATGCTCTAACCACTGAGCTAAAAGTTGTAAGAGGGTTATAACTCCTCCGTCAGCCAGTTTTTTGTAGGGTGAGGTACACTGAGTAGGTTGCCAACCCTCCAGGATTGGCCTGGAGTCTCCAGGAATTAGATTAATTCTTAATTAAAGATTATGTCATGTGATTAAATCCCCAGGAATATGTCCAACCAAAACTGGCAACCCCAACGCTGAGCATGCCTATTGGATTGGGACCTGCCAGCAAGATAGACAGGGGAATACCTAGCTTGCGGATCACTAACAGAAACCTACGTGCCTAGAGGGACTTTAATTTATGTGGAAATTTAGGCATCAGCTGAGGAGGGGTTTTGAGGATCTCAGTGGCACCTAAATATTGGACTTAGGCATCTAATTCTTTTGGATCTAGCCCAGTGTTCTTAAACATGGCTATTGTTAGTACAATTCAATCATAACATCATAAGGACCAAGATATTTTTCTAGTCAGATGCAAAAATGAATAAATATAATTTTTGTAAGGGATATACGTGCATGCAAGAAAGGGAAAAGAGTTGATAAAGACAGTGAGAGAGATTGGATATAGCCTAGGTATAGATTTATTTTTCTTAGCCATGGGAGCTTTTCCAACACTGCACATTCCACTAGAACACTGACTACAGCAGTAATGGTTATTGCTGTAATAGCTGTTGTTTACCAAGAAACCTCAGTGCAGCATCTGATGAATACAGTGTCTTGCTAATCAGTCTCACATTGATTCACATAATTTCTTTCTTCTATTTCTCAGCCAACTTTTCTTTACAAATAAGATAGATACAATTATGACTATAAAGCAATTACACAGCTGTTGCAAAAAGCATACAAGTAGCGGTAGAAGAGGTGTACATTTTAAATCGAATCAATTCATATTGAAAGGTGAAATAACCTTGAAGAAATATTGATTGGATAAGAGGCAATTTTAAGGAAGCTGAGGATTGAATTAGCATTTGGAGTTTAGTTTAAAATAGCTCATTGGCACATATTGTAGACTGGAACGATTTAGTAACTGCCAAGGCTTTTACAAGAGCATTACATTCTACTTATCCACTGTCCTCTATCCTTCCAAATCCCTCAGCTTCAATCCAACAGCTCTGCATAATTGTGAGAAATGTCATAGACCAAGACAAACACTATTTGTTTAGGATAAAAATAATTAAAATCTTCTCCCGTATAAAGATTGGTTTAAATCTTCCGTGTGCTAAGGCCATTGGAAAACATGGATAATGTTTCTTTTAATAGAACTACTCTCATTTGAATGTGTACAGTGTTAATTTCCAGGTGCTCTATTTTACAGACTACTGAATGCCTAAAGTCATCTTTACCTTATTTTCCTAGTCTAGAGTGTGTTTGTAGAGACACTGAGTGCTGCAATTCTGTACATAATCTTGTGTCCTGTTCTAGTTATTTAGAACAGCAATACGACTTTTGGCAACTGTAGTAGTTTACCAGACTAGGATTAGCCAGTGACCTCTCTTTATCTAGTCTAATCTAGTTACTCCCATTGGGCCATTAAGGCCTAATCCTGCTCCCACTGTCTTCAGTGGGGCTCTTAATTCATCTGACGGGTAATCACTTCGGTGAGACCAGGTGCCTCGTGGCTACCTACCTTTCACTCAGTTGTGCACATTCTCAGCTAAAGCATTGATTAGGGCACTCCAGCTCCTGGAGCCTGCCAGATTACATAATATAGGGGATTTAAAATCTCCTAGTGCACTCTGGGGTGTAAAGTCCCAGAATGTGTTTGCTATTTAAAAGTAATGAAAACAGTGGGTCTAGCCAAGGGCACTTCTGAGTTTTGCTTTCCTGAAATAGGGGGGAAAAGACACCTGTCAGTCTCATTAGGGGGGTGGCAGGGATCTACCAGTCGTCCAGGATAGCTAGCTGGAGGACATCTCAATCTCCTGAGAAATAAATTGAAGGGATCATGCCTACTGGCCAGCCTGCATAAGCCTCAACAAGGAAGCAATCCAGCCAACAATCCCCAAAACAGGGACTGAGGTCCCGATCCTAAAAGACAGTTAGGTACCTAGCTCCCATTGACTTCAAAGCTTAAATACTTTTGAGAATCTGGTCCTGGGTCTACTGGTCAGCAACCCAAACCCCCATCTGAAATAAGTGACTGTGTGGTCATTGCCATTTCTCCTAGATGAGAAGACCAGAGTTGGCGGGAATAGCAGACTGCACTCTCCATTGTCTACTCCATCTGTCATCAGGTAGCTAAGAACTGGAGCCTGTATTGAGAAAGTAATGTTGTGCAGGGACTGGTGCAGGAGTTGTCAAACAGAGGGTTACATTCACAAAGAAACTTCGGCATGGTGATGTTGAGCATTGCCCCACCTAACTTCTAGGTGCTTAGGAAATCACTGGAGTTCAGCACATAGGCTCCCAATACAATGAATGGGGAGAGACAGACTAAGCCCACACCTCTCTGAATTCAGCACCTAAGCAGGGAGACCCCTTCTTCTGCTTGGGATTCTCCACCGCAAACCTTCTCTTTTGCTTAGATACACATGCCATTCTAGCAAGAAGTGGGGGAGAGGGAAGGGAAGCTCCCTCATAACTCTTATCTCATTGGTTAGGAAGCTCTGCTGAGATGTGGGAAATTCCAGTTCAAGTCCCCACTGCTATCTGAGGCAAAGGTATCTGAACAGAGATCTGCCACCTCTCGGGTCAGTGTCCTAACCACTGGGAAATGTTATATTCTGATATAGGACTGCTTCAGTGTCTCTTGTTGAAACTGTTTAACTGTAGATAAATAACTAAAAGAAGTCATTGGAGAAGGGGTATTGGATCCTGGAACTCCTAGACAATGTTGTAACCACCAGGCTACAGTGTCAGTCTTATGTGCTCTTGCTCTCGTTCCCTGGCCCAGTGATTCTTTCATTATTTAGCCACAGTGGAACAGCTTCAACAGGAGAAACTGAAGATATATGTACACTTAAAACACTACAGTGTCACTGCTGTAGCACTTCAGTGTAGACACTTACTACAGCAATGAAAAGGATTCTCCCATCACTGTAGTAAATCCACCTCCCCAGGAGATGGTAGCTAGGTCAACAGAATATTTCCTCCATTGACCTAGCACTGTCTACATGGGTCTACTTAGGTCATCTTAATTACATTGCTCAGAGGGGTGGACTTTTCACACCCATGAGTGACGTAGCTGGGTCAATCTAATTTTCCAGTGTAGATCAGCCCTGAGCAAACCTCATCTGGGAATATTCCAGAGCCCAGTGGCTCGGGGTGGGAGGACTCTCCTCAGAGGTGGTGGATCCCTTTGCAAATCCCTTCTCCCCATCAGATGGAGGAGGGACCTGAACTGGGGGCCTCCCACATCCCAGTGGAGTACCCTAACCACTGGGCTAAAAGTTATGAGGCAGCTCCTTTGCCCTCCCTGGCTGTTTTATATAAACTCACCTATAGTGGACTGATCTGGTAGGCAAGGTAGAAGCATGCTTACTGGATTAGGTCCTGTGTGCAAGTTAGGCAGAGGAATGCCTATCTTCCCCCAGTTTGTGACTGGCACGGGGTCTAAGGCATCCAAATTCCTGGTGTGGGGCTGCAGTGCATGTGCTCAAAGGCAGAAACATAGATGTGTAGAGAACTTTTACTGCAAAAATGTAGGCACTGAATGAATGTAGGCACCTACAGGGTTTGAAAGCAGCCGAGCAGGGAATTTGTGAATCCCAATGGGGCCTGATTCTGCGATTTAAGTGCCTAAAGTGGCAGTTAGGCACCTAAATCCTCTTGTGAATCTAGACCAAGATGTATAATTCAAATAAACATCTAAGCTTTTAGATAGTTATCCATACTTATAGGAATATGAACAAATAGCTTCATTAACTAATTTTATTTAGAACCTTAACTTA